TCTGCCTGCCTTTTTTGTTAGCGCAACCATATCAAAGGATGAGAAGTTGTATGTACATATGCCCGTAGTCTAATCTCTAGTTTTCTTTCTCATTCTCTTGTGGCTTCCTCTGTCATAATCTATTGCATCTATCTGCTTGTCCTCTCTAAAGCCTCACAATTAAAGATGACAAGTACCATCTGCAGAGGAAGAGAAGGTATGCAGAAGGGAGGGGGACATGTAAAAAATGTAGTCTCTTCCAAAGCGTGAGTTTTCCATCTACTCATCCTGGGAGGACTCCAGGTTTTTGGAATGAGCTCTGGACATTCTTCCCTACCTGTGGATTTCCCTACTGCTTTCCTTCTGGAAGCAATTAAGACGACTGATTAAGTCAGACCCACGGTCTGGTGAAGGAAAATCTCCAGTTCAGGCTGACCGGTGTGTTGAAGAGGGCAGATGGTTCTTGTTTTTGTTTTTTACATTTGGAATCCAGGAGTTTCTTTCCTCTTAATTAGATTCTACTTCCTTTGGGGGGTGGGAGAGACCGTGTTGTCTGAAGCTAGAGTTTCCTAGGAAGCTCTAATTAGAGCCTTCCATGATTTGTGAGCCACTAATTAGATATCAAAGATTTAAAGTGTTTTCAAACAGAGGCATTGTCTTGGTTTGAAGTTGCATTTATGCCTGGAATTCCTTTCCCCAGCAATAATGTGAAATGACCTTAAGCCTAGCACACTCTAAGAATACTTCAATGAGCAATTTAGGATAGGATTCTTCAGGTTGGATCCTTGTTACATAGCTATATAAGCAATGTTTTTCTGAATTGATGATCTGTAAGTGTAAGTAAAAACATTTTAGCAATGTCTGCTTAAATGCTTTGGGTGAAAATACTGAATATGGACGTCTAAAAAGTTTGTATTCTCCATAAGATCATATATGTGTATGCATGTGTGTGTGTGTGTGTGATCTTAAGTTTGTTTTTTGAGGGTTTAGTTTGCTTTTGCTCCCTTTCTCTCTTTCTCTTTTGTTCCTTTTTAAATTTGCTTCAAGGACTCTTTTTTTTTTCTTGTCTAGCCTTGTGAATCCCACAAGGCAGAGAACTTGTGTCCTACTTTAACTTGAAGCATAGCCTGTGATGCTTCTGCTATTTACACCACTTGCACAGGCACCTGGGGGGACCAAGGGATGATTTAACACCCCATTTTCGTTTTGTGAATGAAAAGCATCATTCTAGATTCTGCACAGCTACAAAAGCCTAGCTCAGAACAACAACAGCAGACACTCCTGATGAAGAACTAGTCTTCTTAGCTGGTCACTTTTCGAGGAAAGCAAGCAGAGGCAGGGTAAGATTCCCACTTCTCTAAAATTTAGAATCTAAATTGTTTTGCTTTCCTAAATTAATTCTGTATTAACACCCCTAGGTAACTCAAAGGGGCAGAAAATCAGATTTTCTTTTTCAGAACAGATACTCATTCCTGCTTTAAATGGAGAAACTATTTCATCTGTCTTTCCTGCATTTTTATCTGTACCTTTAACTTTGAGGGTATCAGAAATGAGTGTTGGATGCAGAATATGAAAAGGGAGATAATTTTGCTTCCATTGCCCTCCTCAGTGAAGTATCATCCCAGTCTTAATTTAACAGTTCCCAAACTTTTGCTGTGTGCTACCATCTTGATTGGCAACTGAGTCTATTCAGGCCATATCTTTCTTTATGTATATGATACTAAGGCTAAACAGATCTCAACCAATGAATGTTCATAATGTTATATAATTATATGATTATGATTAACTTGCAAATCTTTTAAATCAGTAACTTTATCTGACCAAGACAAAGTTTTATGAAACAGTAAGGGAGATAATATTGCAAATTATTTGGGAGAGTTATCTCCTAGAATCATGGGTTCAGAATGATACGTTCCTGCTTAAAAAAAAGTGTCCATATTATTTAGCCAAGAAAAGCTGCTATCTTCAGTAAATATTTGAAAATGTCACCTCTTTGGCAACTATTTTATCAACCCTCTTTAGTTCAATACTCTATTAATTAATTACACACTCAATAGATTAAAAAGAGCCTTTATACCTTCTGGTGTGTCATCCTTATATGCTTTTAGTGGTTCTCCAATCTCTTTCTTTACCATGTTCCAATGTTTTTGCCCCTCTACATCCTTGGCAGCTGAACTGAATAGTTTTCATTATGATGTTTTACTCTGGTCTCCCAATTACAGTGAATGGAGAAAATACTGCTAGTTTGTGGAAAGAATATCTTGGAAAAATCTGGCAAAAATTCACAAAGCCATCATATGCTATCTAACGTGTCAGGAGCAACTTTGAGTAGAATTCCTAATCTGGAAACCTTCCATGTTCATTTCTAGCTATATCTTCTTCCTGCTCACTAGGGCAATGAGAACAGGATTGCCAGGTAAGAAGTACCAATCCAGACTATCCTTTTAGGGTTACAAAACCCTCAGATCATCCTAAGACTTTTATCAAATAAGAAATCTGCAGTATGAAATTTCTGCCACATGGAGTAATGAATTTGAAATCCAGAGTGGGGTATAGATAGAAAAGGATATTGTGTTTTACTAGCTCTCTGCAACCTGGGTGTCCTCCAGATATAAGGACCTCAACTCCTAGGATTCTTAACAATGGCCATGCTGACTATGGAATTCTGGAAATTGAAGTTCACACATCTGGAAGGCATCAAGTTTAAGGAAGGCTGTGCTAGAATCTCAGAGCTTCCCTCTCTTTGTGGAAGCAATTCAATTCTTTGATCAATACCTTCAGATATCAAGCTTCCATTGAATTATATCTGGGACAGAAGGAAAAGATTGCTTGTTCACATCAGTGCAGTCCAATCATAGCTAAGTATAGCTATGTAAGTTCCTCAAGAGCTCAAGCAGTATCATCTGAGTAGTTTTGCCAGCAGTGAGGAACCTGTTCCCCTCAAAATTTTGCTGAATTACAATTTTTAGGAATTCCAACCACAATAGCCAGCAGTTAAGAAATTCTGGGAATTGCAAGTCAGTAACATCCAGAGAACTATAGCTTCCCTCTCTCTGTAATACACCTTTTTGCTTCTCTGGCTTTACATCACATCTGCCAGCAGGTTTTTCCTAGCATATAGCAGTCTTTCTCAACCTGATGCTCTTCAAATGTGGTAGACTTCAACTCCCAGAATCTTAGCTAGCATTTGGAAGGCATCAAATCAGAGAAAATTAGCTTGGAAGAACTGCAGTACAAAAAAACGCATTAATCCCTGCTTCTTTCTGTCACTTAAAAATAGCCCATCATGAAGAGAAGTCCTGGTCATCATGGCCCCTTTCCCAGATTTAATGAAGCTTCACTCAGACCCCAGCAAGCCTTTTCTATTGATCCATTAGTTTTTAGATAGTCTACTTTCTGCTGATCAGACATTAACTCACCACATCATGCCTCTGTGCTGAGCTTGGCAGCTTGGCTCATTTGAGATTCAGGCCTTTCTTCCTTAAGCTGGTCCAGTGGTTCAATTTCAGCCCATTGCAAAGACTTGAAATGCCTTTATAATGAGGGGGTAAGCTTTCCACCTTCATTTTATGGGAGAGATATCTTGTTAGTTCCTGTTTTCATTATGTATCTGCTAAAATCTCCCACAGTTTCAGACAGCAGTTTTATTTCAACACTGCATGGACCTTTATACCAGTCTGTCCTACCTGCTTTAAAGTTGAAAATCTTTTTGTTATTATTCTACCTCCCATAGTCTTCCTGGGCATTCACATTCCTCAGTAGTTGGGTTAGTTTGGCAACAGAATTATTCCATTACCTGGATTTGGACAGTAAGTTGAACCATAAAGAAATGTACTGGACTTGCATAACATAATGTGCCACAGACAACTGACCAAGGTTAAAATTAACTGAGTTTAGCATGTTGTATAAATGAAGCTGCTAGGTCTTTAAGTAATTTGGTTAAGCATGTGTCATCCTTTCCTCCTTTGGGCCTTCAGCACCATGGACAGAGGCCCAGGAGCCATAAGGAAGTTTGACCAGTCTATCAGATTCTGTATCTGACTCCCTGTGTCAAGGAATTGGCCTTTTAACCCTTTTTAAATCAGGTTTTTAATCTGGCTGAAACCAAAGGAGATGGGGTTGTAGTTTTTATTTATGTAAAAGTCTGAACTGCATAAGTAAATACAATGTATTTACTATACAAGCTGAAAACTGTTCCTGGTAATTTATCTGCAGAAAGATTTGGACACATCTGGGCTTCCTCTGTCACCAAATCAATCCTAGATGGAATTACACCAACATTACAAAAAAATACGTTGTTGGGGTCACACATGAACAATTCATGTGGTAGTTGCATACAAACACACACATGCCTCTGTGACTCCTAAAATTGTCACAAACATTACACAAACTAAACAAAACAATTCTATTCCAACAGGCTAAGGAAATCTGGAGCTGTCACTCATTTGATTTTACAGGACAGGAATTTTATAGGCATGGTTCTCTTCCAGATGTTTTGAACCTCAGTTCCCCAAATCCCTTGCCATTGGCCATGTTGGGTGGGCTGATGGGAAATGAAGTGCAACTTATCTAGAGAGAACTAAGTTGTCTACCACTGGCCTACAGAATCTCATTCACAGTTTATGGTGATCTTAAGGGACCTCCTCAAATCTTCCATATTTGGTGGAGAGACACTATACAAGAGTTTGTGATGCCTATTCTATCACCAAGCCTCCTACTTTGGGGATGTAATGCATGTGCCTTCTCTTCTGTCCCCAGTACAACCAAATAGTTATTCATTGAGGGTCTTCCACCTTTAAGAAATTATTACATCATGTTATTTTGGCTGTCCAGATCAATTCTTCTTCTTTTCTATGCCTTTAGCTCTCACTTCTAAGCAGGGAAGTCCTCCCACTCGTTCTATTTTGCCTCTGCTTTCCCCTTTCCTATTTCAGTTTCTGCCGTGACTGGGCGGGGGGGGGGATGGGTTTGTGGGGAGGTCCTTTTTTTGCAAGGGGCGGGATGGTCCTCCGCTACCTTACCTGCCAGCAGCTGCATCCAAGCACAGATCTTGTAGACCGTGGCCGTGTTGCAGAAGAAGAAGAGGGCAAAGCAAGTGATGCAGCCCAAGATCAGCACCATGGAGAGCAGCACGAAGAAGGAGGCGGCCTTGAAGGCGCCCGAGGGGATGCTGCGGAAGTCGGCGAAGGAGCCGTGGCAGGTGAGTTCCCGGTTGTTGCCTTCGTTGCCCACACAGTAGTGGAAGAGGCCGAAATAGCCCGGCTTGGGCGTGCTGACGCTGTCGCCGATCCAGTAGGGCTGGATGAAGACGACCACGTTGATGATGGCGAAGCAGATGGTGAAGATGGCCCAGAGCACGCCGATGGCCCGCGAGTTCCGCATGTAGTTGTCATGGTACAGCTTGGAGGCCTCCTGCGACGGCAGCATCCTGTCGGGCGGCTCCGAGCACGGGGCCCCGGCAGCGCAGACACG